GGCCAAGGACAGCGAGCACGAGAACCTGCAGAAGCAGAAGGAGCAGCTGACCGCGGCCTACGAGGCCCTGCTGCAGGACCACGAGCACCTGGGCACACTCCACGAGCGCCAGTCGGCAGACTACGAGGCCCTCATCCGCCAGCACAGCTGCCTGAAGACGTTGCACCGCAACCTGGAGCTGGAGCACAAGGAGCTCGGGGAGAGGTGCGTGCCTGCAGCTGGTGGGGCATCAGGCGGGCTCCCCCGGGGCTCGCATCCCGCCTCCGCTCTGCCCCCCCGGGTTTCCTCTTGGCCCGCTGCTTCAGAGTCTGGGGCACCGGCACTTTCCCAAAGGGAAATAAGTGTCATCCTCAGTGACTTGGAGTTTGTGCAGCTGGATACCGAGTGGCAGGAGGGTCCCCAAATGCAGAAAGGGGTGCGCAGCTCATCCAGGCTCAGTGTTGGGGTCCCTGCTCCCCTAAGAATTCCCACCCCCTCTTCCGTTTCTCTCCAAACCAAGAGCAGGGAGGAGGAAGTTCACCACAGCTCCTGACTTGCAGTGCGATGCCTTACCCTAGGCTCCCTGGCCTTTTCTTTCCTACCAAGGTCTGGGCTTCTTTCTTTATTTAACCTTTAATTTTTGAAACTTTGGATAGTTCGAGTGGTATAGACCCTGTGTACCCATCACCCGGCTTCAGCAGTGATCAATATCTCAATATTCTGCCATTCTCATGTCAGCTGTACTTCCCATTCTCCACTCCCACACTCCTTTTTTTTTTTCTTTAATGTAAAATTGATATACCTGACATGCACAAATCTTAGCTTTGCACTCTTGACACACCAGGGTTTTATGTGCATTGTCAGACTTCATCGCCCAAGCTCCTGTCCCGCAGATCCCTGATCTTTCCAGGTCCCTGGGCAGGTGCACAGGACGCAGAGCCTGGGGGAGGTGTGATGTGTGCATGACCAACGCAGGAGAGAGAGTCACTCGGACACTTCGAGCCGCATAGGAGGGAGCTGTTGTCCACCTCCTGTGCTTGCAAGATGTCCCTACTGACAGTGTGTCCCTTGACTCAGCTTCAACATGACACTAAGCAAACACTGGGTCTTTAGTGGGAGCAGCTGGGGTGCAGGGGGTTTCCCTTGCAGGGGTCCAGGGAGGTTGCTGAGCCCACAAAGCCTGCTGCAGGTGTCTGATGATGCCGTGGGGCCGGGTGATCACATTCATTCGTTCACTCACTCAGTGCTTCTGTTTGCCTTTCTCTGGAGCCCTGCACCCCTTATCTACCTGATCTCCATCCTTAGGGGCGTGGAGACCTGTGCTCCTATAAGACTGCTGCTTCCAGCCAAAATGAGCATCTTCTGCCTCTTGGCGTTTCCATCTCTCCCTCTTCCGACTTCCATCCTGTATTCGTGCGACATTTATTGAGCATCCGCTGTATGTACATGTGATGCTGTGTCTGACGTGGTAGGGATGCTCTCGGCTGAGTCATGAAGGGGAGCAGTATCAACACAACTCCGAAACCAGCAGCTAGCATGGTGCCCACCAGGCGCTTGCGTGTCTTGTTTTTTAATATTGTTTTTCAATTACAATTGACATACAATATTACTTTCTGGTACAACATAGTAAGTAGATACTTACATAACTTACGAAGGGATCACCGCAGTAAGTCTGGCACCCACCTGACACCATACACAATTATTATAATACTGACTATATGCCCTATGCTGTACTTTTCAGCCCCATTACTGTTTTTGTAACTGTCAATTTGCACATCTTAATCCCTTCCCCTTTTTCATCCACCCCTCAAACCCCCCTCCCATCTGGCAACCATCAGTTTGTTCTCTGTATCTATGAGTTGGTTTCTGTTTTGTTTGTTTGTTTATTTTGATTTTTAGATTCTACGTATAGGTGAAATATGGAATTTGTCTTTGTCTGACATATTTTACTTAGCAGAATACCCTGTAGGTCCATCCATGTTGCCATGGCAAGATTTCACTCTTTTTTTATGGCAGAGTAAATGCTCCATGCATATGTACCATTTGTCTCTCGATGAACACTTAGGTTGTTTCCTTATCTTGGTTATTGTAAATAACGCTGCAATGAGCATAGGGATGCATGTGTCTTTTTGAATTCATGTTATGGGTTTCTTCAGATAAATACCCAGAAGTGGAATTGCTGGGTCCTTCTTTGTCTCTGGTTATAGGCTTTGTTTTAAGGTCTGTTTTGTCTGATGCAAGTATTGCTACTCCAGTTTTTTTTTTTTTTTCCATTGCCATTTGCATGAAATATCTTTTTCCATCTCTTTTACTTTCAGTCTGTGTGTGCCTTTCAATCTGAAGTGAGTGTCTTGCAGGCAGCATATGAAAGGGTCTGGTTTTCTTACCCATTCAGCCACCCTCTTGTCTTTTGATTGGACTATTTAATCCATTTACATTTAAAGTAATTACTGATAGGTATGTTGTTATAGCCATTTTATTCATATTTTTGGTGATTTCTCCCGCTCTTTGGCCTCCTCCCCCTTTAACATTTGTTGTAATACTGGTTTGGTGGTGATGAGCTTCAGCCTTTTCTTGTCTGGGATTATGTGTCTTCTTAATGTCCTGTTATATATCAGAGGACGTCATGATGTTCTTCATGTCTGTTCAAACGGGAAGGTTTTTGCAGGTGAAACTAGTGCTGCTCTGAACGGAGGGTCCATTGTGGTTTCCCCTGTAGGTCCTTGCTCCGGGCAGCCTGCAAAAGTCCTGTCTTACTCAGTAGTTTTTGCTGGTTGGACGGATGGCCAGAGGCCCCTTTGGTCCGCCTTCAGCGAGGCTACGGGTTTGGAAGTGGAGGTACCTGAACACAAGATGATGGCTCAATCTAGATTCATTTCATTTGACACTGATAGCAGACACCCATTCGTGCCCTTAACACATACTTACTGAGTGTCATGCCTCACACTGGGGACTCAGTGTGGAGCAAACCTCGTCGTTTCTTCCTCACAGGTGGGGGGTTCCTAATGGTTGGAGATGTGCTTGATCAGTGTGCTTTTCTAAGACATTACAACATGGGAGCAGGAGTTGGGGACCCTAATGGTCAGCCCTAATTTGTCAGCCCTGAATGGCTTTTTCCAGAGTCGTTAGCCTAAGAAAGACCACCACCCCAAAAGGCAGCCAGAGCCCCCACTCCCAGCTTCTCACTTTGGCATGTTGGGGCAGCCCCTGTCCCGTGACTAAAGGCCAACAACCGTTTGTTTTGAACAGCTGCCTGAGCAGGTTTTCGGGTTTGTGTCCCCCGCAAGCCTTGGCTGCAGTCAGATGGTACAAGTACAGCTGATAGAGGGGTGGGTGGGGTTGGAGGTCTGAAGACAAAGACTGGAAACCCTGGCACACTGAGCGTGGAAAGCTCAGGAAGGGGTCTGGAAGGGCATTCGCCTGAATGGGGAAGGTCGAAAGGTGGCGCCTAAGCCACTGCCTTGGACTTGGGGCAGCTCTTATGTCATCTGTGAATACAGCAAGTTCCAGCAGGCGGGAGGGACAGCCTGGGCTCATCAGGGATTCCACCCTTGTGCTCTGCTGCCCTCCAGAGATGGCTAACATTGAGGCTGGAGAAGGAAATACAAGGCCCAAGCTGAGAGCGCAGTGTGGGGGAGGGTAAGGGCTGGTGGGAGGGACTTGAGGAGCAGGGGAGGGTGTGCGTGTGTATCTGTGTGTGTGAGGCTATGTGTGCGTGCACACCATCCTCCCGTTTCTCCGCTGTCCAGCCCCGTTCCCTGCCCATCCTCCTCAGCTCTGCAGAGAGACGCCACCAGAGGAACCCATGTTCTCACGGGAGGTTTGCAGTCAGTCTTCTGGGGTGTGCATTACCTGTAGGAGCAGAGGGCCCTGGGCAAGCTCCCAGCAGGTGTGTTTCCATCCAACAGGCACGCGGACATGCTGAAGCACAGGACGGAGCTGGAGGAGCTGGAGAAGGCTTTGCACACGGAACGGGAGGCTCTGCAGCAGGAGCAGAGGACGAACGCCATCGCCGCCGGCGAGAACCAGAGGCTGCGGGGAGAGCTGGACAGGTAACCAACTGCCTGCGGCATGTGCCCTCGGGATTCCCGTCAGACCAACTCGCTCAGCACCCGCCAGAGAAGGTCGAGTGAGACCCGGTCATCGTGTACGTTTACAGACCCTGTCATGTTAACAGCTGGATGGTAATAAGGTCAAAAGGACTCTGGCTGGTGGCTGGGATGGAGGGACAAGTGACACCTGGGACCATGCGTTGTTTGTGTTTGATAACCTCACCTCCATGCTTGTGACAGTGACGATTATATGAGGCACAGGGCCTTTGTCGTCTGGCGTGAGCCACACAGCGATCCCATGAGTGCAGTGCAGTTGGTCCTCCTTGGTCACACCTTCCCCACTGGTGAATTCACCTCCTTGCTGAAATGTATCGTAACCCCCAGATCGATGCTCACGGCGTCTCATGGACGCACCCAGACGGGTGAGGTATTTCAGCCACTTGATGCACACATTCGCAGCTGAGGTTGAACAGGGCCTGTGACCTCTGCCTTCTTTGTGTCATCATTCATACTGCAAATAAGCATCCTTTTTGCGGTCCATTTAGGTCCATGGTTTTCGTAGTTCTGTGCTCTTTGGTGGCAATGTCACTGTTTAAAATGGTCCCCAAACAGAGTGCTGAAGTGTTGTCTGGTATTTTCAAGTGCAAGGCTGTGACATGCCTTACAGAGAATGTATGTGTGGTAGACAAACTTCACTCAGACCTGAGTTAGGGTGCTGTTGGCTGTGCATTTATTACATAAGGCGTCATTAAACAGAAACCCACGTGAAATAAGGGCTGTCTTGATCAGTTGGCAAAGAGGTGACCAGAGAAAACCTCCCCCTGTGTTTCCCCTGGGAACCGTGGTTCATTATTCGCTAATTCAGTATTTGAGGTGACTTTACAGAACATTACTACTGCGAATAATGAGAATCGACTGAGCTGTTATCCTTTTTTCTTTCATTTTCGTTTTTTTTATTGACAGGTGGGGAAATGGGCTCAGAGAGATGAAATAACTTGGTCAGTGCTTCTAGTTAATGGCATAGTGGGATTTCAATCCAGGTTTTGTCTCATCCCAGAGGCGTGACCGTATGAAGCTGCCTCCTCCCTGTGCCCTTTGTTAATGGGGACCAGGGCCTACAAACCTGGGTGCCTGCAGTGGCCAGGCAGGTCAAGCACGTGGGGGACAGTGTCCGCGACAGCCCAGACAGTGACATGAGGCTATACACTGTCTGAAGATTGTCAGCTGGGAGGCAGGCCTGGGGCTGCCAGCTCATCCTTTTATTTATGCTTTTTTCTTACAAGAAGCTGGACATATGAATGTTGATGTGAAACTTTAAAATTTTTAGATGTCGATAAACTAATTTTTTTTAAAAAACTGTACAGGCCAAACAAGACACATCTGTGTCCAAATTGAGACCACGAGCCTCTGCTAATTTGAGCTTTCTGATCTAAATCGTTCCCCCCAGGAAACACCAGGTGGGATTAATTATGATGATCATTTCGGTGGATTTACATAATACCCCAGCAGCTCATATTTTATTTATCTCAGGTGTTGAAATTAGAAAGGAATGGGGAGAAGAGCTGGGCATAGACGTAGCGTTAGAGCAAAAATGTTCTGGTTCAATGACTTTAAAAAGGGTTTTAATAGCAGAACCCTTTTTCCAAGCAGGCAGAGATTATAGCAATGGTACTCTGAGCCTGCCTGTCCTGACTCCCCCAGCCCAGTATGGGAGCACCAGGGGTACTCTCATAGAACCCCAACAAACACAGTTTGAAAAGTTTGCTGATTCTGTTCAGCCCCCTGATTTGCACGTGAAAAAAACTGAGGCCCAGAGAGGCTGTGGCTTTGTCTAAGGTTGCACAGCGGGGGCGGAGCCTGGGAGTGCTCTTCAGACCCCGGCCCTGCGGCTCTCCACCCCCAGGGTCAATTTCCTGCACCAGCAGCTGAAGGGCGAGTACGAGGAGCTGCACGCCCACACCAAGGAGGTGAAAACCTCGCTGAACAACTCGCAGCTGGAGCTGAATCGCTGGCAGGCCCGGTTTGATGAGCTGAAGGGGCAGCACCAGAGCATGGACATCTCGCTGGCCAAGCTGGACAACCACTGCGAGGTGAGGCCTGGGCCTGGTGGGGCCGCGGGACCCTGGGGTGTGTTCCCTGGGCTCAGCTCTGTTGTGATGGGATCTTGTTGGCGTCTGTGTTCCAACACTGTGTGAGGGTCACACACAGGCCAGAGGAAACCAGAGGCATTTGAAAGGAGCAGACACTGTGGTTGGTTAGCAGGACATGGGAGAAAACACCTTGCACCTGACCTTTGCTTTTTGCAGGGTCGGCATAGAAACAGCCGAAAACCGTTTCATTTCCATCCTCTTGGCTGGGCATTGGGCATTTGCTCTGTGCTCAACGGTATCATCTCAGTGAATCCTCACAGTGACCCTGTGAGCTGGGTGCCCATCCTCGTCCCTCCTAAGTGGCAGGTTGGAACCTAGTCTGTCTGAAGCCAATACTTGCAACTTCCCTGCTGCACCAACCATGATGATATTCTAGAGCAGGGGTTGGCCAGCCTCGGCCTGCAGTTCACATCTGCCTTCCCCACCTGTTTTTATACAGCTGTGAACCAAGAATGGCCTTTACAGGTTTGGATGATGGGGAAAATCCAAAAAAGAATATTTGGTGGCATGTGAAAATGATCATTTTAAACGTCAGTGTCCATAAGTAAAGGTTTTTGAACACAGCCATACCCACGCGCTTCCATTTCTTCTCTGGCTACTTTCCTGCTGCAGTAACAGGGTTGACTAGTTGAACAGAGACCACCGTCCTGCCTGGAAAGCTTAAAATGATTTACCACCTGGCTCTTTACAGGAAAAAAAATGGGTCCACTCTCTTCTAGAGCAGAGCTGTCCAATAAAAACAGAACGCAAGCCACTGTATTTAATTCAAATTTTTCTAGTAGCTGCATTAAAAAAGTAAAAGGAAACAGGTGGGATTAATTTTAATGTTATGTTTTTAGTTAGCCAGTGTAGCTAAGATATCATCTTAACATGTAGCCAAAACACATTAAAGAGACATTTTAAATCATTTTTAAATTGCTATTAAGTCTTCAGAGTCTGTTGTGCATTTTGCTCTCGGGACCCAGCTCGGCTGCTGGATTGGATGGTGCAGCTGCAGAGGGATCTTGGCCGTCCCCACGTTATTGGCTGTTGTGGTCCCTCCTCATTTTCACGCGTGCGGAGGGTCCTGAGACGGACCTGTGTGCACATGGCCCTGCCCTTCTTCTGGAAGCTGGAGTCCCATTCTTGGAACTCGGGTCACACAGTGTTTGAGACGTTGTTGGTCTGTGTTTCAGCTGCTCTCCCGCCTCAAGGGGAACTTGGAGGAAGAAAACCATCACCTCCTGAGGCAGATCCAGCTCTTGAGCCAGCAGAACCAGATGCTTCTAGAGCAGAACATGGAGAGCAAGGAGCAGTACCACGAAGAGCAGAAGCAATACATGTGAGGGACGCGGGGCTCCTGCAGGCAGCCGGGCTGGCTCCCGGCGCCACGCCTGGTGTCCCGGGGGCAAGGGGACAGGCGCGCCAGCTTACCAGCATCTCCTCTCGGTTTTCCCTGGGATGGCTCTAGATTCCTGCGAGTGGTGGTGGCTGGCTTTTGTTTGCTTTTCAGAGGCACTGCCCACCACCAGAAGCTTCTTAACCTGCTTTCGGAATTAAGCTCACTGTTAAAAATACAACAGTGCTAAAGAGAGGTATCTCAGGGAAAGGATTCAGATGGGAGGCTGAGTTCAGGTACCGTCGCCTGGCCCTTTCTGTCAGTGTCTGTTTTCCCTTGGGCGGTCTGGACAGCAGGTTTTCGGTGTGCTGTGGTTGTGCCCCCCTCAGCCGGTATTTATGAAGTGCCGGCTTCGGCACAGCCCCTGCGAGGGGTGTAGAACCAGCTCCCTGGTCCCAGGAACTAGTAGAGGTGATGGGGTGTAAGCAGAGCTGTGTCCATACCAGACCGGTGCTGAGCTACATGGGGGCGTGGTGCTGGGCGCTGGGGTTCTGCTGCTGGCATGGGATGGGGGGTGGCAAGCCAGGCGGGGGGATATGAAGGTGGAGCGTGGTGTGGCCGGGGAGCGGGGAGCGTCAGGAGAGTAGGCTGCAGAAGAAGGCGGATGCTCAGCCATGGAAGGCCTCCTGCCCAGCAGATGAGCTTGGATTCACTGGACGTGTTTAAGGGATGCTGGCCTAGCAGGGCCTAGGAAGCTGCCCGAAACGCGGTCAGGAGAAGAGCCTTAGCCCTGGAAACCGTGTGGTTTGGGAGTTAAGTAAGCCAAGGTGATCTCATGGGGCCAGGGTGGTACTCACCCCTCTGTGCTGTGCTGGGTGTCCCTCCTCGTGATCAGGAATGGCTGGTCAGTGGGGGAAGGCAAGAGGAGACGCGCTGGCAGAGGGACATGGTCACGGTGAACACCGGGGTACCGGCCCAGCTCCCCAGTGTCACAATGCGCCTTTGTGGTTCTCCTGGCTTCATGTGCTCATCTAGAGCTGGCTTGTCACCTGCCGAAGGATGGTCTATAGTAAACACACGCTGTAATTTGGGGTAGAAATGACCATTGCCTGACGTTGTCCCTCTGCAATCGAGCTGTCAGAAATCTATCAGAAGCCTGGTACCCACAGGGGTGATGTGATCACGGCTTTACACTCGAGTGTCTGCATGGCCAGGGAGTTGACAAGCTCCCTGAGCCTGCTCCGAGCCAAGCACCTCCCTGGGCCCTGGGAAGGTTCTAGTGCCTGCCCTCCGTGAGTTTGCGCAACTGCGGTGTCAGGCCCCGCCATGAGAGCATCCCAGCATATGGCCAGACAGCGTGGCTCTGAGGACAGAAGGACACAGACATCAAGCCGGTGGGGGGGGGGGGGGCTGGGAGCAGAGCAGGGTTGGCGGTCAGGGGCCTGGCAGTTTGAGAGCTCTTACTTTTCATGAGGCGCTTTCTGTGGGGTGAACTCTTGAGAAACCCTTGGGTTTCGGCAGGACCTCGTCCGCTTCATGATCGAAGGGGCCTCATTTCAAATGAGGACACCAGGGGTCCGAGCTGTCAAGGCCACACAAGAGTCAGGCGCCAGCAGCCCAGTGGGCAGCGTTGTACAGAGTGCACCCCCACCCCCACCCCTTCACAAGCTGGGTTTCTGGCTTCTCTGAAAAACTGAGCCGACCCACCCCCCAGGGCCTGTTTCTGTCCCCACACGGCAGCGAGCGGTTCCGGTGTGGCAGCCATGCCGCAGCCCCCGGCACTCCCAGGCCTTCCCAGGCTGCGTGGCTCCCTATCTTCTCTGCCAGGCCCCCGAAAGCTTTTGAGCTTGCCCCTGTGCAGGTGTTACCAGAAACCCAGCATTGGGATGGGTCCAGGGCAGACGCCTGGCTCTTTCAACCTCAGTGCCCATCTAACTCACTGCGGGCGGACCTTTCCTCGCCACCAAAGGCATTGATCTGAGCCCCAGGAGCATGTCCTGTGTGCGACCTTGATTGCCCAGCGTCCTGAGTGACCTGGCCGGAAAGTCCTTGGGGCTTCCGAGCTTGACTTTTCAGGTGGTTAGGGGTTTGCTCCCTTGAGTTTACTTAGAGCCAGACCCTAGGTGCGTGAGGAGGTCTCCCCAGGCGTTAGGGCTTCCTGGACCCAAGTCAGCCGCTTCCATTCACACGTGCCCAGCTCAGCCGTCATGGTCACGAGCACCAGGATGTCCGAATCCCAGAGAAATACTGGCCCCTTCTGGGCCAGGTCCCAGGCTGGGCTGATGAGTAAATTCACATGTTGTATTTAAAATTGTGACTCAGTTGTTTTTCTTTCTCCTCTATTCACAGAGACAAATTAAATGCCTTACGGAGACATAAGGAAAAACTGGAAGAAAAAATCATGGATCAGTACAAGTTTTATGATCCTGCTCCAAAGAAGTGAGTTGATTTAAGTTTCAGTAACGTGAACACAGAACAGAAAAGCTTGCTTTGCCACGAGTGGGGTGAAAACCAGAGCCGCCAGAGCAGCGCCCAGGTGTGGGGCCTGCATCTTGCTCTGGATTCCAGGTCATCTGCGTGTAGGCCCTGCCCACCACAGAAAGAGTTTAGAATTTCAGCCCTAAGATGAACTTTCCTTTAGCCATAAGCCTTTTTATTTTTTTTTTTTGTGGGGGTTTTTTGCGGGGGGTTTTTTCCTGTGTGTGGGGTGGGCCCCCAGGATTTACTGCGCCCTGAAACCCAACCCCAACACCACACACCCGCGGCAGTGGTGCCCACTGGCCTGCCTTCATGTCGTGCCCGGCAGTGTGTGAAGTGGCCAGGCTCTTGGCCTCATTTTTTGAATTCAAAGTGTCCACGACAGGCGCGCACTGGGGGACGTGTCTAGCCCACGACCACGAGAGGTCGGGGCCTGGATAGCCAGGACGCAGCGCGGGGTCCTCACGCGGAGAGGGAGGAGTCGTTGTCCCAGCCATCAGGCTTTTTAAAGGGGCTGAGAGCCTGTGGGTTTGGAGCCATTAAAGCAGGATGGAAGGGTTGCCTTATTAGGTTCGGTTTCAAGATTGAACAGGACGTAGAAAACCACATTTCTGTTTTGGGAAGGAGGCTTGGGAAAGACACTGAACCAGCAAACAGCACCCACGGTCTTCAAACATGGGGACCTTTCAGCTTTACCCAAATTCCCCTGGATTCACTAGACCCCAGGGTGACTTCGCAAACACAGTTCCTTCTCCAGAGAGCAGCAGCCCCCGGTCGTGGGGCTGGCTCAGTCCCTGAGACACTGGCTTCCGTCCAGGTGGGCTCCCCCTGGTTCCGGGCCTGACCCCAGGGGCCGAACCTTCACACTGTCCTGGCCCGGCCCAGCCTTGAAGTCAGAGTCACCGTGAATCCCTCAAGGCCTCTGTGTGGAAATCCCAGAACCACAGGATTTCAGAGCCTCCACCTGAACCTTCTCCTGGCAGAGAAGTCGAGGCCCAGAAGAGGCAATGGAGTGACTTGTGTAGACACACGGCTGTTTAGTTGCAGGGCCAGGATTAGAACCCAGATGCGGTCTCCTCTGACTTTAGAAAGCCTCCGTTTCCAGTTAGCAGCAACTGCATCGCTTACCCTTTAAATTCAAACAGCGTGTCCTTCCCTGCCCTCTTCCCCTCGCCCAGATTCCTCAAGGCTGAGGAATGGTCCAAGTATGCCGGCTTACTTCACTTATTATCTCAAGCAGAAAATGAGGAGGACCCTGACTGTGTTCCTGAAAATGGCATTTTGACCGAAAAATTGCCAACAGATTAGATTAGCACAGCACCACTTCCTTTATTTCACACAGATAATCAAAGAGGCGAGAGCTCTCTTCTGTGTTCCTGAGAGGCTAGCGAGGGCTCCTGGCATAATGCCCACTTCTCCCACCTGGGGTCTGTGCGAATTAACTGCAAATTATATTCTGCCTCCAGAGCCTCAAATACGGTGATTATGGTGATGGTGAAGGGCGCTATCATTCTGAACCCTGAATCAGTGGCCCATGTCCCAGGCTGGTGATGGGAATCCCAGCTCATGTTAGGGTACCCAGTGACCTGCTGGAGGGGCAGGGAGGGCTGATTGTGTCCTAAAAATCTCCTTCTGACTAGGAAAAACCACTGGATTGGAGCCAAAGCCTTAGTCAAACTCATCAAACCAAAGAAAGAGGGTTCCAGAGAACGACTGAAGTCAACCACAGACAGTCCTCCCTGGCAGCTGGAGTCCCCAGACCCTGCCTCACCCTCTGCTTCTCAGCCTCTCAGATTGCAGGCGGAGCCTCCCGAGACCACCCCCTCAGGCTCAAACTGCGTAGAAGAGCGAGACGCCCACAACGAGCCAACAGGGAAAGGTAGGAGGGGCTGACCTGGCTGCAGGCAGGACGTAAAGGGGATGACCTAAGGGCTGCCGTGGACAGGGTAGAGACGGCGTGTGGGTGTGCGCACGTGTGTGAAGGAGCTTGAACAGGTGTGCTGCAGACACACACCTGCCTCCTTAGGTGTGTTAACAACCAAGTAGAAAACAGGAACCCAGGTCAGTGTGGTGCTGGTTTCTTCCCGTAACACCTGAGCAGCATCTTCAGGTAGACTGTTATGGACTCGAATATCCAAAGCTGAGATCCACACAGCACCACCGAGACCAGCTCCGCACATGTCTTTGGGTTTCCCCATATGTCACAGGTCTGGAGGAAGCCATTTCCGCAGGGAGATCGTGGTGCATTTAACATGTCACATCCATAGGCAAGATCTTCAGCGAGGCCTTGTATGGCTCTGATCTTTTTGTCACTTAGAAAAACAGGTCAGGTGTACTTCTCTAACCTGATCTGGCCTTGAGGCCTATCACCACGGGGTGCTGTTTACCGTGTCACTTAGGGCTGTCATTTAGAGTTTGCCATAGGTTCTGAAACAGATTTCTAGTGCCATGTACTGTATTCCATTGAGTCCAAGGCTGCCAATTACAAGCTGCACAATTATTGTGCACACAGATAAAAGGAAAATATGAGCAAACCAATTGGTGTGGCAGCGACAATTTTGTCCTTGTTGCCATCTGGCCAGCGGTGACTGTGAGACATTCTGATCTCAGAGATGTTAAGGTTAGGGGTAGGGGAGGAAATGTACATTTTAGAATCAATTAAACACAGCAATAGCCTTAAACGTAGTTTAATTTTCAAATTTACTTTTAAATATCATTTTATGGATGATTTATCCATCAACCTGCCACACCTACACCCTGAGAAATTTAAATTTTTATGAAGGACACTAGGACTTTCTGAAGATCAGGCCGAAGCCTGAGACTCGTGCACTCCCAGGAGCTGACGTTACAGCACCGAGGGCCAGTGACAAGCCACTTTCTCAGTGTGACACGTGCATAAGCCTTTCGGGGGTGACATCCACTACTTCACGTCTTGTCGTGTCACTTGAAATGAAAAAATGGAATGTGCACATGCGCCCACATTGTTGGGGGGCTACTGCTTTCCTTCCCAGTCTTTACAGGAGATAACTGGGTAGAAGGCTCAGGTGCAGGTGAGTGAGAATGGAGCCTAACAGTTGTTTTATCTAGAGGAGCTCTGTGGCCTCAGGTTTTTCAAACTGGATATTTCAGTGTTGTTGGTTTTGTGGGTTTTTTTGACATTTATTACCTCAACGTGTGCTATTGTTTAAGATGGCTTAACTATAACCAGCCTAGTAGAGTTAGGAAAACTTTCAGCAGGGAAAAAAGGCTTGACCGGTCCAAACTGTTGTGCTGATCCATGAATGGGCAGGTCAGTGATAGTTGTCCATCACAGCAGCCAGGTATTGGGCCCGTTCTCTGGGCTCAGCACCGTTTGAGCTCATTTCCCTACCTTTTCTGTCATTTAGTCCTGGCTGCCCTGTGAGGCAGGCACGATTACTAGTCCCTTTCCAGAGCTGAGATAGGGCGGCCTGATGAGGTGCAGCACCTGCCCGAAGAGTGAGTGGTAGAGCTGGGATCCGAGCGTGGGTCTGACCAACTGCGGAGCCCGAGCTCCTAACCGCTAGAGCACTCACTGCCTGCAGTTAAAGCGGCTTTGGTCCTCAAAGATGCTGAACAGGCCTGGGGCGCAGGCATTGACTCAAGTCGGTCCGTTATCCTGCGGTGCGAGCGTCGGCCACCAGGTGGTGCTGTGGAGAAAGAAATAAAGCGGGTTCTGGCGTCAACTTGAATCCTCAGTCAGAAACTCGGTAAATCAGTTGTGTTAACGTGTGACGTGTTCAGAAAGTTAGACCGATTTGTCTGCTCTGCTAAAACTATGATGTCAAGGTCATGAAGTGTAGGTTTGAAGTAGAGGACACGTAGGAGATCTAAAAGGAAATCATAATTCTTGATGTTGAGGGGGTTTTGGTATCAAAAAGAGGTATTTTCATTATTTTTAAACTCATCCTGCCCAAAGGTGTAATTTTAGATGTACAAGGATTATTAGTGAATAGTGCAGGTAGACTGTTTCATGACAACAGGCCAGAAACGTATCATTAGTGTTTCCAAGGTCTTTAAAGAGGAATGAGTTAGTGTGTGAGCTGAATTGTCAGGGAGCCTGTCATTAAAATGGATGAGTAAGAAAATCCGGGTCCTAAATTAATAAACATTCTTAATAATTGAACACCTTGAAATTGAAAAATTGTCTAAGCCATTGGGTCTTTGAGCAATATATAATTCTGCTCACGTGCTGAGTAAGTAAAGTGTTGGCACTCAGATACCACTAAATTAATTAAATTGAGTCAGAGCATAAATGATTTACCAAGTCCTGAGTCCATCACCTCGTGGGCATTGTTTCCTGGGCTGCACAGGGTTCTGATTTCCTAAGGACATTTAGCTCATGCAGCGTCATTTGTTATTATTCATTTCATTTATTTTCTGTTTTGTTTTTTTTCCCTTCCTCTCTTGGGTTATCCCGGGGATAACAATTTAGCAACTTCACGCAAAAAGAGTCCCTTTTTGAGAAGCAAAAGTAAAGACAAAGAGAAGTCTCCAGCAGCAGCCCACCCGGCTCTCTCTAAGCGCCTGCGGTTCTGGTCTTCCTCCGAACTCCCACCCTCTCCTAACGAGCCTCCCCCTTTTTCAGAAATTGGAGATTTCTAATCCTTTTCCTTTATTAGTGTCTTCATCACGCACCCTCCTTCATGTCTGAAACGTCAAACACAACAAAAAAAACAGTACCTAAAGGCCAGCTGACCCATAGGGGTCCCCTCCTCCTAGCCCTAATTCCCAGCCAAGCTTAAAGTAGCCAGCGTGGATTCTGATTTCAAAAGAGAAGATGAGTGGTCACACCCCCTGGAGCGCTCGCCAGCACAGCACAGTTTTAGGGGAGCCTCGGACCCCCATGCACACACAGGTCCTTGAGCCAGGATGTCGGTGCTAAGTAAGTCCAGTGGCCACGTGCTGCCCTTGTCTCGCGTCCGCTGGCTTCTGTCGTGCCCGTGTGTAAAGCAGAACTGGTCAGTTGCCGCTATGCTTCCTAAAGCAGCCTCTGTCAAGTGCGATTTTTTTTTTTTAAGACTTATTTTTAAGCAGCTAAATTTAAAACGGCTGCCCTTGTCTCCTCTTTGCTTGTCAGAGCACTGAATGGTTGGCTTTTGCGGATAAGGCCCCGTTTTTAGATGTGCTCTGTGTTATGAAGGATTTATCGCTCCATTCAAGCCTTTTGAATAATTGGATTGATGTTGCCAAGCCAGAGTGCAGCTCAGAGTGAAGTTTTTTGACTGTGCTGTAGTTCTCTGACATCTTGGATGCTGATGTTACAACAGCAGGGGACAGGACATCAGCACATAAATCACGCCCCCAGTGGGGAGTGCCGGTCCACGAGAGGCCTTTAGCTACTGCCGCACTTTCTGTCTTCAGCCATCCTTGTACCACCCTCATGATTTTCGCTGTATCTTTCCATCACCTGTGTGCTTGCTTACATATTTCCCCTTGAATCGACTCACCCTGTCCACTTAAATTTATTTCTGAAAGATTATTATCAGGACTGGAAATGGAAAACCAGTATCACCATAAAACCAAGATTACCATAAAAATGAATACGTAACTATGAAAATGAAGTTGGCTGATGTGGCCCCAACTTTGTCTCAGGCACCCGCTCTGGGACCCCTGGGCTGCCGCTGAGCTGGCCCTCTGGCCTCCGTCTTCCCAGCATGCTGTTGGAATCGTGCCGTTTCCCTGCCACTGCTGCTGCTTGCTCCTCTCCGCCCCTGCCCCCGCCTCTGCGCCTCATTTTAACTTCACCTAGTGGGTGCCTGTTCAGATTCATTCCACCAGACTTAAATCTTGCTTCTCATCAAGGTTATCTTTCAAAATCCAAAATTTCCCTTGATTTCAAATCGTAAGATTTGGGTGCTTAAAACGTCACAGCCAGTCCACACTCTGGCTGAGGGGCCGGAATCTCAACAGTGGGCATGGCCCTGGGTCCAGGGCCCTAGTGGTGGGACGTTGTGCGAAACGGCATTGTCCTAATGCTCCGAGGAACTCCGACTGCATTGTTAGCTTATATTTGGAGAGCCCATCTCCTCCCGCTTCCTACTCCTAGGTACTTGGAGGGTTTTTTGTTTGTTTCTTTTTTCCCCCCCAGCGTTTTTATATAGGATTTTATTTAACTTTGACAAAAGTGTATGTTCACAGTAGAAAACTCAGAGAATGCAGAAAAGCACAAGATACAAGGTAAAAATCATTCTTGCCGTCAATCTCACCATGCAGAGATTAAGACTTCTTAAACCAGTTATTGTCAGGGTGGCAGTAAACCTCCTTCTCAAATCAGAAGTGAAGCCGCTTGGCGGGACGCACATCCTGGATCTCGAGGGCCTGGACTGTAGGTCTGGAGTGAGCCTGAGCAGACACCTGTCAGGCTCTTTTTTAATCAGGGATTTGAGTGACACACGGTTGCATAGCAGGTGTGCCGGCAGTTAATATATTGGACTTGTACCAACATTTTGGTTAGCCTCTTGAGTTCTTCCTTTGTTTCCTCCCAGCTGTTCAGGGCTCGCGTGATGGCCCATCGTTAGAGGCAGGGCCAGCCTCCCCGGGCCTGCAGCCAGGTCCCCCCATGTAGACCACAGCCTAGCCTTGTCCCTGTGGTCCGTGTGCCCTGCCGCTCCTGCTTCTGGCCTCAGTGTGGCAGCCTCGCCTTGGCACAGGATTTTGCAGCCCCATCTCTCAATATCCTTCTCTGCCCCAGGCCCTGGGGACCTAAAACCAAGGCGAGGGTCCCCGCATGGAGGCAGCCTTGACCACGCGGATGCCTCCGCTGACCCTGCTGTGAAGCTCTGGTCTTCAGAGCTGGGCTCCCGAACCTGTTCATCCTCAGCCATCACTACAGCCCCTTCCAGCTCCACCCCCATCTCCCGGCACCCAGGCCGCACCAAAGGTGAGTCACAGGTCCCTCCAGAACCAAGAAGTTTGAACAGCTGGGGCCCCAGATCCTTCCTGAAGACCCCGGGCTCTCAGAGGCAGGAGGGTGGTCTCTCAGACTGAGAGTTTACGCTGCGGACAGGCTTTGGTGTCACACAGACACAGGTTCAGGCCTCAACTCTGCCTACAGCTCTGTGATTTGAGGCAGATGAGTTCACCGTCTAGAGCCCCAATCCTAAGCCACTAATGGGAACACCCCAGAACTCCCTCCCGCCACCACCATTCAGGAATTGGTGGCACCAAGAGATTTGGGGTCTTTGAACTGGAGGTTGGTTGATACTGTGGAGGGCAGGTGTCCTAAACGGAGAACAAGGGCATTTGGGGAAGGATACAGATCGAACATCCCCCAGGATGCCAGCGGCCACACGTGTTCACACCTTTAGACATGCGATTAAAGTAGTCTTCAAATCATCTGATCAGTTTGAGAAATTCCCAACAGAGCAGCTCTGTCAGATCTTGCCGGATGAAGCCCATAGAAGTTCAGGTACCCCAGACACCCGAGGAGAGCTTGCAACCCTCGAGACCAAAACCAATGCAAAAGGCAGCAGAGTCAACAGACATTAAGCACAGAGACGAAAGCTTTAAAATGCCCATCGTTAGTATCGTTGGGGAGAAGTGAAGTTGTTCCCATGAAACAAGAACAGGATGTTATAAAAAGGAGCAGTGGGGGCCGGGGGGGGGGAGCACTTGGAAATTTTAAATATGCAAACAAGGGAAAAGATAAAGCTTAAAACTAAAAAAGAGATTCTGCTTATAATTTACAGATGAAAATATCCAAAGAAATAGCTGAAAGTGATTGCCCCTGGAGTGTTAGAAATTGAAGAGAACAAGAGAGGGTTATTTTTCGTAGTAATACCACCCACTGGATTCCTGAAACCATGGGCATTCATTCATAACCTTGGTTTGACAAGCAAAACAAAAGCAGTCAGGGTCCCCGTCCCTAAGGCGTGCCTGGGTGAGCTTGCAGACCTGGTCCCAGTGGTTCACAAGTAGGAAGCACCCTCGGGAGAGGATGAGTCGAGTGGGCACTGAGCAGCCAGCAGTCCTTCTCTGCTCCTGGCCAGACACTGGAGTGTCAGTCACTTACTGTTGGACGTCAAGGGAATTGTGCCATGTGCTGGCTGGGACAGGTGTGCTCTGAGGCCAGCATGGTAAGGGCGCCTGTCGTCAGCAGCCTGTCCCAATCTCCCGGGCTCTGGGGTGCAGAAGCCCTACCTGGTCTGGGGCAGGAGCTGGGCACACCATCTCCTCTCAGACTTCCTGCGGCTGAAGGCCCAGCCCTCCAGGCTACTCCCCCGGCTGTCTCAGCCTGGATCCCATCCCTGAGCCAGAGCCCAAACCTGGAAACATCACTGCCATTGCCTGGCAGCCCAGTTCTCACGCTCCGGTGGACATATATTGTCTGCAAAATGGAAACCCTGTTGTCATTTTGGAGGGGACCCTAGGTCTGCTATCAGGAAGAAACTAGCAGGCTTGAGGCAGAGGAGGGTATTTTAGTCCTTGTCCGGGGAAGGGCAGTTGACTGGTGGCCCATGGATCCCAGGAGTCTGCTTAGCAAGCAGCTGCTGGTGCAGGGTTCCATCCCCAGGGAACCAGCGTCCTCCCTCAGGTGGGGGGCTCTTCCTTTACCCTCCTCCAGCCACCTGAAGAGAGCGAGCCCCCTAGAGGAGAGTTGCTTTCATGACACTCTGCTCTTTGTGCAGCTGGCCTTCGAGGCTAGAAGGGGCTCTCAGGGGGGACTAAGTATTCAGCTCCTTGTCTGCGTTTTCCTTGGGCCAGAAGACTGCTTTCGTTTGGAGTCCCAATCATTGCACAGGTGGAAGGAAGTATGATTTAAAGTTCAATAGAATAGGAGTCTGGAGTGTGAGTAATGGGAGGGTTACTCCAGCAGGAGTAATGGGAGGGTTGGTGCAGGCGGGTCCTACCGGTACAGACCACACTCCCCTCCCTCACCCTCAAGAGCTGGACCCTGCCACAACGCAGGCGCCGGGAAAGAGTCAGAGGTGGCCATCCGGCAAGGGCCTGGGTTTCCCCATGCATGTTCCAGGAGCCGTGACTCACCAGCCTTCTTTTCACCGTAGGCTATAATTCAGATGACAGCCTCTGTGAGCCGTCCCTGGAGCTCGAGTTCACCAACCACAGGCAGTACGGTGAGTGTTCAGCTCGTTGTGCCCTTCAGCCTGGGCTCTCACACTCGACTTCATAAACAGAGCTTTTCCTTCAAGCTACGTCCTGTGTGGAAGTTCAACACGCAAAATAGGCAAAAGTGAAATTGTTATGCTGAAGTGGGAATGGGGGGGGGGTTCACAGACCCTCACAACTCCCTCCTTGCCTCCCCAGAGACCTGAGCATGCAGCTTCTGCTTACATGCCTCCAGTGATGGGGAAGTCACTACCTATCAAGCATCCTGCTTCTGGAGGTTCTAGCTCTCCTTTAAAGGAAGTTCTGCTGAGCCACACAGGGAGTCTGGATTGCAGGATGGTCTCTTAGTGTCCTCGGTTGGATTTTGGTTGCCCAGAGGAGCTCCTAGTTGTCTTTCATTTTAGAAATTATTATAAAATTATAGAAGCACTTGCCCTCTGATTTAGGCATATAGTAACTTTGTGCAGGAGGGAAACAGTGAGTTACACCAGACCTTTCAAAAAGTAAAAGCTGCTTTGGGTTTTTATAATTTCTGAAAAATAATTCTCAAATGGTGGGATGTTAATTCTTTTAAAAAAATAGAGTTTATATTGAATTCAGCTTCCTTCTGAAGTGATCAACAGCAAATGTATGTAGGCACTAGCATCACTTTTTACCCTATCCATTGTCTAAAAAAAGGTTTTGTGATGCTGAAGTTCGTTCACACAAATGCAGACATTTACATATAAGTAAAGACAGACTCTGTGGTGAAACAGTTTGACACAGGAAGCCCTTATATCTCTTCACTGAGTGGAGGATAACAGGACAAGAAGAATCTGCTGTAGTTCTTGGTAAATCTCACTGAGTAGCCAGGTTTATTGCTTAATCAGCTGACAAAAAGGATTTTCTTCGTAAGTGTTTTCATTCCTTGAGCTTCTCTCTTACCAGGAAAAAGGAGGCAAAGGGATTTGCATAAATCCATAAATCAAATAAACCAAGGCATTTTTCAGAGCCCATTGATTTATATTATAGTTGCCTTTTGGTGAGACTTACTTCCTTTTTAGAGAGACATGCATTTTTTTATTTCAGATTTTTCCTTCTCAAAGAGGGGACTTATTCTGCTTTTATGCTATTCATGAAAACCAAGCATTTTTTGGCTCTCCTCCAAACCCCGAGAGCTAACAGTTTTTTTCCAGATGCCTGCTATTTCCAGGGTACCCCAGCACTTGGGAACTAGATGCCCTGGAGACCCAGTAAATCCAGAACAAGCTTTGCCTGGCAGGGCGGGAGGCAGAGCGTCTCCTGGCAGGTCTCTGGTTCTCAGTGCAGTTCAACTCAACACCAGCTGTGTGCAGGGATGACGGAAATGAAGCCCCCGTCCCCCAGCTGTTTGTCCTGCAGCAGGACAAACACTGATACGGGGCAGGCTGGCGAGGGCTGTGACACTGATTGTGCTGGAGGAAAGGTGGCTTGCAGGCCTGGAAGGGACAGCTGCCCCTGCAGGGGTGGTACCACCCTTCCCGCAGCTGGTGCTCACCCTCTGATCTGAGGGCTGCCACAGACACGCTCAGCAGGCACACACAGCTGCCAGGAGAGCTGGTTGCCCCCTAGCACTTGTCTCTGTAAAGGTTGGTTTTCTCCTTTGGGGCAATTGTAAATTTGAGACAGATAAAGCAAAGGAGCTGAAGGGCAGCAGATGACCAGCAAAAGTGATCGCTTTCTCTCCTCCGAAGGGTCCCCGCTTCCACTTTCATGGGCGTCTGAAGTGAGGCTACCCAGCACACGGGCACAGGCTCCCTTGGACACACGTTCCACTGCACACGCTGCCATTTGCTGGCTCCCACCCTCCCCAGGTTACACTGTCATAGTCTAGGCAGGGGGTTTCCACATGTGTTCCGGAAAGCTCCGTGCAGTAGTAGGGGTGGGCTCCCTCCGCTACAACCCTTGGCTTCTCCAGAGCAGCCTTTTTTGCCTGCTCTCTATACTGGAGTTCTGCATGAGATTTCCTTTGTTAACAAAATTGTTTTAAGCCACAGCCATTGACCTCATAAAAATAGATAATGCAAGTTGTCATTCTGGACATCCTACTGTGCGCTACGCCTAGCACTCAGTGGGTGAAGCTAGACCCATCCTGGAAGAATCTAGAAAATCCCAAAGTCCATCCTTCCTAAGGCTGTTCGTCTTAATTTTGTCACAGAGTTACTTTGTTACGGATTAGATGGTTTAGTCTGGGATATACCTGGTCATCGGCCACTAAGGTTACATGTTGTCATTTCAGTGTCCCGGCCAGGTAGCTTAGAGAGCAGCAGAAATGCGTCCAGCGACAGCTCACCTCTTAACCTGAAAGGTAAGTCAGTATTTCCTTCTGTGCACTTTTCCCTGGATTTGGTTCTTTGGCTCTGGGCTTGTATTATTTTTATAATTTAAAAAATACAATTAACAAGATTGTTAAATGCATTATGCGTGTCCATTCTTAGGCCACATCTTGCAGTTTCAAGCTCAGGCCTGGGAATTGTCATAGATGGAGGTTCAAATCCCTTCACACCCACTGACTCTCTCTGGGCCCCAGGGCAAGTCACCCATCCTCTGAGCCCGAGTTATTTCATCTTTAGAAGAGGGATAGCACCAGCCGTTCTGTTCCCCTGTGGTCAGAGGACAGAGTGGATGACTTTTGATTCCTTTAACGTTTTTAAAGTTTGTTTTATGGTGTGGAGTACAATCTGTCTTCACAAAGGTTTCCTGTTCATTTGAAAAGAATGTGTATGCTGTCCCACGAGAGCCAACAAATGTGGTGCCTTCCAGCTATTAATTTAAACTTGAGCAGAAGCTTTCCACTTTCATCTCGAGCTCTTTTGTTTTTAAATGCCAGTGGAATTCTAAAGCATTCCACAATGTCCTGGACTTCCGAAACGCCAGCCTGGGCGAAGTGCCCCCTGCGCGTTTTCGAGTGGGGCTCTCCCTGAGCCAGAGGCAGCAAGCACAGAGCCCCCTGGAGGCAGGTGAGGTGGAGTGGGGGAGACTGACGTCTGTTCCTGTGTCACCTCGCCCTGACACCCAGGTTCCTCCGACCAGCTCCACGGCAGGTCTGAGAGCTTCAGCAGCGAAGACCTGATCCCCAGCAGGGACACAGCCGCTCCGCCCCGGGACACCAGCACCCCAGGACGCACTGCCCTCAGCCGCCATGAGTACCCCCCATCCTGGAATGGGCCTCTCCCCCCGGAGGGCATCCAGAAGAGGGGCGCGGCCCAGCCCCATGCCGGGGTGCGGCCCTGCTCCTCCCCGAGCAGCGAGATGGTCACCCTGGAGGAGTTTCTGGAGGAGAGCAACCGGGGCTCCCCCACCCCCGTGAGTGGCCCAGGGGCTCCCTCTTCTCTCACTGTCTCCGTGGGTAGACTGGGACTGTGGGCACAGACCTTGGCAGCAGAGTCACGGAAAGGGGTGGGGGCGGGGGTGGCGCAGCCTGGGTGCAGAGCTGGCTCGGATGGGGCAGCGTAAGTCCTAGCCGGCCGATCACTGAGTACTGGCAGCCAGCCTAGACCTCGGAGGCTGTCCTCTCCGTCTGTGAAATGAGCGGGCAGAAATTGGTTGCCAACGTGGAGGGTAAGGATGGCGTGTGCCCACCACCTAGAGCTTCTAAACGGGATGTGGCCAGCACCACATGCAGGGTTAGGATTGCACAGGAGGTTTGGTGGCAGGGCTCTGAGCACCCTCTTCCCCTGAGTCTTTGCCTGCAGAGGTTGGCGAATGTTTCTATAAAGGGCCAGATAGTAAATATTTTAGGCCATACAGTCTCTGTTGCAACTGCTCCACTCTGCCGTTTGGGCTGGAAGCAGATGTAGATCGCTTATCAAGGAGCAGGGATGGCTGGGCTCCAACAACCCTTGATTTGTGGATGTTGACATTTGAATTCTATAGAGTTTTCACATCTAACAAAAGACTGTTCTTTAAAAAAAATTTTTTTCAATCATTTAAAAATGTAAAAACTATTCTTAGCTCACAGGCCATATAAACACACGTGGCAAGCTGGACTTGGCCCACAGCTGTAGTTTGCTGAGCTCTGTTCTGCAGCTCTGGCCCCCTAAACGTCTCCTGTATCAAGAAACCCTCCTCTGTCCCTGTCCCAGTGTCCAGTTTAGCTTTTCTGAAGCTCCATGTACACCTTTTACACATTGTTTCTGAATTCAGTCACGTGAGCTGTTGGGTTATTGAAAAGATGAAGCACACTGTTTCACAGTGGAGCCCTTGCAAGGATTTTTAATGTTTCAGGAATTCTGTCTCATTCCCCGTGAATGTACACAGTTGAACTTTCTCCAGCCACATGGTACACTGTGACCTGCGTTAATAAAGCCCCGTGACACAGAGGGTACAGCATATTTGTTCAGTAGGTATTTATTGAGCATCTACTATGTGTTAGGCAGTATGCATGGTGCCTGCGTGCTCTCAGAAAACTAGAGTGAACTGGTTAATCAGGTTTTTATCACGTGCTGGCTAGAGGTGCCTGGTCTTGTGTGTGTTTGGACCTGAAGGGAAATACAATGCATGGCCTTCGCCCTTCTTTCATTCCTGGGCAGGAGCTGGAGAAGGACAGGGGCCCTGCCCTCAAGAAGCTTATGGTCTGATGTAGTGGTTCTCAAACTCCAGGGTGTGTCAGGCACCTCGGCCTGGCCATGGGCTAGACCCCGGGTCTCTGACTCCGGAGGTCTGAGGTGGCGCTCCTTGAGAATTTGCATCTGGGCTGAGTTCAGGCATCACACGCTAAGAAGCACGGATCTGATGGAATCCATGAGAGCAGTGCAGGAGTCAGGGTGCCTACACTCGCAAGCCTTCTCTTCTCAGTCCTTTCTGACGTTGCGCCTGGCAAGTGAGCTTCCTTCCCCTTCGCGGATCTCAAGGCGGGGGTCCCCAACAAGGGGCAGGGCCCCTCCCCGCTTAGCTTTAGACCTGTTCTCAGAGTCACCGTTTCTCACGCTCCATATTATTACCCATCCCTTTTCAACCTAAACTAGACCAAAACAATCTCGCGGCAACAGTTTCTTTTGGGAGCTGGTGCTGGGTCCCTGAGAGCCACCCCACCTCCCTCCATCTTCCCAAGGTGTTCACCCCCACTAACCTGACACCCCACCCTCCCCTGAGTCACAGCGGTGCCCCCATCCCTGCCACCACTTCCTGAGTGTTACTGATGCTGGCGGCGGTGTGTGTGTAACAAGATAGGGTCCTTTGGTGACCAGAGAGGGCATTCTCATGAGCATGGGTGTCAGGCTTAAGCACGCAGAGGGGAGTCGGGGGTGGTGCGGAAAACAGCTCCACAGTCAGACAGCCGTGGGTGTGAATCCCTGACTGCCACTCTCTAGATGTGGGACCCGCTTAACCTCTATGACCTCAGTTTCCTTACCTATTAAAGGTGGTTTGAACACAACCGTAAGCAACCTTGCAAGGTTGCTTTGAGAATTAAATGAGTTTGGGGGCTATTTTGGTTTTGTAATTAGAACTGTGGTTTCTAGCACAGTGCCTGGCACATGGGAAGCGGTTGATAGATGGTACCAATCGATATTAAGGACCACAAGTCTGGCTGCACAACCCTCCGGAGCTGTAGCTTCTAACTTGCGTATAAAACAGTAGATTGCATCTATCAGGTGCCCAGATGCCTTCATGGGCCGGGAGTTGTTGGCAGGTGCAGATGGTTCCTGAGCTGCTGTCCCGTCCTGCAGATGGACGCTCCCTGACTCAGGTCACAGTGGGCCAGGGTCGGACGCCATCAGCTTGTGACCCCGGACTCTCGTCTCCACATGAACTCACCTCCTTTCCTGTCCTCGTGGTGTCCATCCGCCTCACTCGTTTTCACCACCCCCCTCACGCCCCCCTATTGCACTGCTGTCTTTCTCAGATCAAGAGAAAGACCTGGGTGGCAGTAAAGGTCTTGAGCGCAGTTGGTTCTGGCCTTAGGAGCTGGTGTTGTTTCTCTTCCTTGTGGCCTAAGATAAAGCCCTTGCGATGTGCCGGAGCGCGGTGGCCTGAGAAGGCAAGGAGGTCCCGTCCAGCCGGTCAGCTTTCTGCCTCTGGCTCTGCTTGGTGGAACCGTGAGGAATACACTGAAACAGTTGGCTGTGGTCAGGCTTCCAGCACTGACCTTTCCATAAAGCGGATAAGCTTTGTGGGAAGCCGTTGCCCTCTCTGGGTCTGTTTTCTTGCTTAAAAAGTTAGGGGGCTGCATGAGTGACGTCTGGGTTCTCTCCCTGACGATCTGTGTATTGCCTCCCCCACCATCACAACCAGGGCCGGTGTGTGTGGTGGGGACAACGTGAGGCCTGGCGAAGTGGCACAGGGGTGGGAAACTTCAGGCCTGGCCAGGGGGGCTGCACAGGCGACATCCTGGTGGGTGGGCGGGCTCTCCAAGGACCCGCCTGGCTCACTTCTGCCTCAGCTCCTCCTCTCTCCTCTGTAGGACACTCCCAGTTGCCGGGATGACCTGCTAAGTGACTACTTCAGAAAGGCCAACGATCTCCCTGTCATCGGAGGCCAGCCGGGACCACCTGCCAGGAAAGAAGGGGCCAAGATGCCCACCAGCTTTGTGGCGCCTACCATCAAGATGGCTGTCAACACCCCCGAGGGGAAGCTGCTGAAACCTGGGCAGTACGTGAAGCCGAACTTCAGACCTACTGAGGCCGAGGCCTCGCCCAGTGCCCCCCTGAGGCAGGCCCAGCCTCCTCAGAGCCTGTCTCTGGGCAGACCTCGGCAGGCCGCTCTGCCTCCGCCCCCCCACACACCTGCCACCCGGAGCACATCCTTGAGCCGGGCCTACAGCCTGGCCTCAGCCGACCTTCTTCGGGCTACGGGGCCAGAGGTCTGCAAACAGGAGTCCCCTCAGAAGCCAGGGGGTACTGAGGCCTCTGGGAGCAGAGAAACAGGCAGCCATGCCCTGCAAAGCCACACAGCTCCCAGTTCCCACAGCCTGGCCCGGGAGCGGACCCCACTTATGGGAAAAGCTGGCAGCTCCTGTCAGGGCATGGCCCCCCGAAACCGGCCACTGGACATGAGGCGCTTCTCGCTGGCTCCTCCGAAGGAGGAGAGGCTGGCTCCCCTGCAGCAGTCCGCCACGGCCCCAGCCATTGCCACTGGAGGTGGCGGTGGCTGTGGCAGCAACTCGCAGCTCCAGCACCTGTCACCTGCTACAGCCCCAGCTGCCAGGACTAAGCCGCAAACCCCCCAACACTCAGGGGAGGTGGCCGCCATCACCCCTGTCCGGGCAGGGCTCAGCCTTTCAGAGGGTGACGGGGTCCCAGGACAGGGCCACAGTGAGGGGCTCCCTGCCAAGAGCCCAGGCAGGTCTCCCGACTTGCCTCCCCACATCAGCCGGGCCCCTGAGGACTTCAGTCGTGGGAACAACTCCAAGAGCACGCCTGCGTCCCCAGAGCCGGGTGGGGACCAGCAGACCGTGTGGTACGAGTATGGCTGCGTGTGATTCATCTCCTGGACCAGTGACTCCTGAACCTTAGAACTACTGACGCGCCTTCTGATGACAATGGCCTTGTTTCCTATCTGCCTGTGGTGCCAGGAAAGGGCTTTAGAATAAGGAATGGGGCTCCCCTGCATGTCTTCTGTTTGTTTTGTTAATGAAAACACTGTGCCAAGCCCTAAGAGGATTATACGCCCAGGTGTGTAACACGTCTTCCATACTTGTAGTCTCCAGCTACTGGTATCTTTTGAACAAATCCACTTTGGCATGGGGGCGCTCATAATGCGGTGACAAAGCTGACTTGCCCCAAAGCACACACTATTTGAGCGTGCCCCTTAGAACACTTGTTTGCAACCTGTTGACCTCCACTAAAGTATGCGTGTGTGTGCGCGTGTGTATACACCCACACACACACACGTGCACGCTCACAGGGCTGAGCCCTAGTGAGTCTAGAAACGCTAGTCCCTCTCCTGGAAGCCATTTGACCTGGGATAAGCCCAGACTGGCCAAACTACAAAGACCTTGAGGCCCTGGGTAGACCCCAGAGTCAGGCTTACTGTTCAGAGCTAGGAGTGTCGCCCTGCCGTTCCTGGGGTCCCATGCACTTCCCTTTACCCCAGGACCAAGGTGGCCTTCTAGGCAGGTGACAGGTGGCCTCGGGCATTTGCCTGTCCCACTTCTCCTGGCTCACTTTTCTACAAACACTGGATCTGCTGGGCCTGGGAGGTGGGGCCGAGAGAAGCCCCGCCCCCCAGCAAATGTACAGAGGGTGAGCGTGTGCGACAGTGAGGTGCACGCCTGATCTAGGTGGCCGCAGCTCCCCAATTTTCCCCATCTCAGGTGAGATGCTGACTTGTTATTTCTGAATAATTTCTTACTGTAGAAACCAAATTTCTTTTAATATATTACATATATGTGTACACACTCATGTGAAATATGTGTACCCTGAGGGAGGGATCTATTTATGTTCCACTGGGAGTCATTTTCCATCAGGAGTCTCAACCTGCTGCTTTGTGTATTTGGTCAGATTCCTGACACGATTTGTTTCCTATTTAGTAAAGGTGCTCTTCCTGGGATGTACTAAACCTGGTGATTTGGGGTTTTTGTTGTTGTTTTTTAAGATTTTTTTCCTTTTGATTTAATACACTGAGAGAGACATGGGAATGTTAACGCAGTCAGTTTTAGGAGCATTTTGGGTTGTGTATTAAATAGCCATTCATTCTGGAACACAAGGAAGGCATTGTAATAAAATGAATGGGTCGGAATCGCTTCCTCGTTTTCCTCACCGTTTTCCTCACTGCCCGTTGCTGGCAGCAGTGCGGGGGGCGGGGGGTGGGGGTTCTGGGCTCCCTGCTTCAGCACCCCAGTCTTCCCAGGCCACATCTCCCTTTGTCAGGAGGTCAGAGGATATGAAAGGCAAGGTTTTCCTGTTTACAACAGCTTTTTTTCAAGACTTGGATTTATTTGAAGTTAGTGTAAGTTGAGTCCCATTTGCTACGGGGTTTATATCACAATGGGCTCAGCTTAAAGTGGCCCTTTGGATATTCGCAAGGCTACTCAGCCAGGAAGGTCTAGGTGTGGAGTTTAGATCTCGGGGGCCTCAGATGAGATGCTTAAAGACGGAGGGAGGGAGGGAGGGAGGGAGGGAGGAAGGCATATAAATACCCATATATGACAAAACCTTTCTTATGGTTTTCTGTCCAGCTGCTGCCTCCACGTCTCCTTCCTTCCTCACCAAACTTTTTTTAAAGGTGCCTCCCCATGCCTCCTCCCCGTTCTTGCCCAAGATTTTGCCGTCTGTTGTGTCCAACCACTCAGCGAGAGCTGCCATCTGCAATTCTTTGAGCCAGATTGAGTGGGGTCCACCTTGCACACTACATCCCGCAGGCCTTTGCAGGACTTGACGTCTGGCCAGTCACTGCTTAAAGCTCTCGGCCTGTCTTGTGATTCTCTCCCCTCTGGGGCAGCTCCGCCGTGCTCAAACTTGCCAGAACCTCATTCATTCACTCATTCTTTCCACAAACATTCATTGAAAGCTTCCTGTGAGCTAAGCCCTAAGCTCCACCTTCGAGGCGTCCCCTCCCTCCATGCCACCCCTTCAGGGCTGACCCCACTCCGCTCCGCTAGCACTGACCACCCCTGAGCTTCAGACCTGAAAACCGCAGGCTTCCTCAGCGGTCCCTGCCTCCTCGCCCAGCTCATCAAGCCAGAGCCTGTGGTGCGGGTTTGACCCTCTCTCCACAGCCCACATTTCATAGGTCACCTAGACATGAGAATGTGTCGAATCTGCCCCCTCCTTGTCTCAGCCAGCTGTTCTCATCCTAGGACACACGACCCAGTTCTTAGCAACAGCCTGCCAACTAGCCGGTCTCAGACAACTCAGCTCATGGTACCTCTTGGGCACTCACCCCAGATGACCCCTTTTCTGAACGTTACCTTCTCTCAGCCTCCACACGAGCCACACCCATCCCTTTGTGGTCTAGGTTCTCTACACGTCTCACCCTGCGGTGCACTCAGCCCTCATCACTTCCTCCTTCCGCCCTGGACAAGCTCATGCACATCCACAACTTTAATTACAATCTTCCAGAAGGTTCCATACATATCTCCAGGCCCAACCTCTCCTTGGAACCTCCAGACCTGTTTCCAGCTGCATGTCCCAAAGACACCTCCAACTCAAAATGCTCAACATGCAGTTCACCGTCCCGTCCCCCCCCCCGCCCAAAGCCTCTGTGTGCCCCTCACCACTTCATATCTGCCCCTTTACATCCAGATGACGTTGGGCATCCCCCTCTTCCCCGTGTCCTAGTCATTATCCCATAGCTGGTTCCAGCTCTGACACCTCACTCCCATATGCATACCCAGCAACCCCAGGCGACGGTCCCCCCGGGGCAGTACCACAGGGTCCTGTCCCTGAGGGGCCTCCCAGATCTTGCCCCCCTGAGCTCCAAGGCCCCGTCCTCTACACTGGCCTGGGACATGTGTGACTGGGCATCTGGGAAATATCCAAGTGGCAGTTGGGTATTCATGGAGGGAGATTTGGGGTCATCTATGGGACAAGAGGGGCTCTAGTTTTCTAAAGTGAGTAAATTAGCATCCAACCAACATTAAACATTCAGCCAAACGTTTATCAAGTAACCAGGGGGAGGGGAGGGGGGGAAATATATATATATATATATATATATATATATATATGTATATGTATCTNATATATATATATATATATATATATATATATATATGTATATGTATCTCCAATTGATTCTCTTAGCTCTCTCTGAGTTTTGCCCAAGTTGTGTATTATAGCCAACTGATACTTGCAACTGACAAACGAGTATAGTTCCAACATGAATGTTGGCTGATAATTTTCTTTCATGCTAACAAGTAAGATGAAAGTCAAACAAGCTGAAGATGTGACAATGTCACTCATTCGTTGCTGTGTTGTGAGTGACCGCTCAGTCAGGTAGTCGTTTTCTGAATGCCAGGTAAAGTCCCTCAATTTCTTCTGCTATTCGCTTTGTAATGGCTACAGACATTTAAAAATATAATTTACATACCATGATAATCACCCACATTTTCAAGTTTAATGTGCACTGTTAAGATTATACAATATCACCTCCATACACATATAATACAATAGGTGTAAATAACCCCAGGAGCATAAGGAACAGTAAAGTAATTACAAGTGGCAAGGTTTGAGTATTACCTTTCTTTTTAATATAAATTATTAAATTGTAGGTTTACACAAGTTAATTTTTAATGATGGCTGTGTTTCACACCTGGCTTGCAAAATTCCTGGAAACTCGCGGGTCTGCTCTCACAAGCCCGCCCAGGCTGGCTCCAGCTCTGAACAGGACGCATGGCCTTTAGGCGCGGGTTGAAAGGGAAGAGACAGAACAGTTGAGAAGTGGCCGAAGAAGAAGGAGCATGTGAAGAGCAGAGCAGCTGGGCCCTGGGAGCTCACAGCGCTGATGGTCCTGGTGGATGTACCTGTGTGTAGACACAGGGATCTCCCCATACGGGGTGCACAGAGGTCACGTGGGCTGTGCCTGGAGGCTGGAAACTCTGCCCTGGCCTCTCTCCTTCCATCCTCCCTGCGCTTCTCCAGGTGGGTAGAGTGGAAAGAGTGGGCCTGGGGAAACCATCACCTCCCCATCTGTGAAGTGGGGCAGAGTGGACCACAGAAGCCAGGCAGGAGACTGGAGGTGGGGGAGGTCCTTGAGGGCTCGGAAACGTCCTCCCCTTTCCAAGCTCTGGCTTTTTGGTCCAGCCCACTGAGGTTCAATTAAGTTCACCAGTCACACGCATGGCACATGCAGTCTGAGAGCTGGTAGAGACAAAACCAGGCACCTGCTCCCCATCTCCCCTATCCCCAGACCCCAAATACACAGGGGAGGAAAACTCTGGGCCGCTCCGTATTCTCCGAGGGAGAGCAATGGCCCTTGTGAACGCTTCTGGAAGCCGTACCCTCCCAAGGCCCCGGGGGCGGCCGCTCTGTGCCGGCCTGGAGTGAGCCAGGAGCTTCCGTCCCCCCACCGCCTCCAGGTGGCGGCAAGGCTAGCGGGAGCCACTCCGCACCACGCCTCCGCCGGGTCCGCGCCGCTGCCGCCGCCGCCGCCGCTGCGCGCCCTGTCCCTCCCCTCCTGCCGGCCGGAGCCCGACTCAGCCAGGCGGGACCGAGCCGCGGCCCGGCTTCCTGAGCCCCGGACCTGAGAGAGGTGAGTGCGCCCGGGCGAATCGGTTGGGGCCGGAGCAGCGGGGCAGGCAGCGCAGGGATGACAGTGGCTGCCCGCCGGGCCAGAGGGGACCACCGACCTTCAGCAAGGCCGGCTCCCCGACATCTCCTGGAGTGGAAAATTCAAAACCCATTCTCCGAGATAAAGGCCTTTGGGGGGAGTGGAGGAGGAGGGCTGGGAGGTAGGTCCCTGTCATTCCAGCGTCCAAATTAATAGTGCTTTTGGGGTCCGGGGACCTACCACCACGTGGGTGGCATTTAGGGGCGCAGCAGGCCAGAGAGGGCTGCCCTGCTCAGGGTCCCTGGGGTGGGGGCAGATCTCGAAAGTCCAACACTGTCCAGGTCCCTGAAGGACATGCCCTGACCTGCGTGACTGCAGCTAAGGCCCAGGGGAGAGCTTTGGGGGAGGAGTCCAAGGACCAGCTCCAGGCAGGAGGCGCTCCCGGTCTGGTCCGTGGCATCCAGGCAGGTTTGGGGATGCCATCCTGCCCTGGGGGTTGACGTGCGGACGAACTAATATCAGCTGAATGCCTGCTGGTGCCTGATACTTCTGCATGATCTCCTTTAACAGTGTCAGTTGACCCCTCTATCCACTCCCTTTTCTTTATTCAGCAAATGGGCCCTCTGCTGGGCTTCAGTTCCCACCATCAATACTCCAAGGGCTCCTTCTGTATGCACTGCACCATACACACACGCCAGTCACCGGGAGCATTCCCCGGATACCGCCTAGTCCCCCGGCAGGTGTCAGTTTAGACGCCTCCTCTCCCAGGAGGACTACCCTGACTGCACTTCTCCTGACCAGGTGCTTTTGCACTTTGGGCTCTCACAGTATGGCCCCTCCCTGCCCATCATCCTCCAATCATAGCTGTTGTCAGAGTATTGTAATTGCTGTGTTAATCCTCTTCTGAATCAGCCATTCAAATTCCGTTTTGTTATATGTGTGGGGAAGAAGACACTTTCCTCTACCCTCCTAGGTTCTTTGGCTGGTCTAATAATTAAATCTACATGAGACAGATTAGCAATAGAAAAATAACCAAATTTAATTACACATGGACACATGGGAACCCCAAATACACGAGAGAGTCAGAGGCCCCCCCACATACATATGAGGTTCAGAGACAGAAAGGGGAAATGAGGTATAGATGACATTCTGAGCTAAGTAAGGATGAAGTAAGGCACCTTGGCGTTTCAGAGGGGGGAAGGTCATTGCAGCATGAGAGGAAGATCAGATGTTCAGTAATTAATAGTTTCCCAGCCCTATGAATAGGTCAAACAAAGTTATTTCTGGTGATAACTCTTAATTATGGGCAAGGCCCCCCAATTCAAGTTCTTCTAGAAAGTTAAGGGGGGACAGAAATTTCTCTTGAGCCCACATGGTCTCCATTGCCTTTAGCTCAAAATAATCTGCATGTCACAGAGGAGAGAAAGGGACAGGGATTCGTGTCCTACTGTGCAGCCCGCCACCACTGAGATCCCCGCACTGGTGATCATCTCTTGTCTCTGGCCAGCCTGCACTGGCCCTGATGT